GGATTAAGGCTAAGTGCCTTCGCCATCAAAGTTTAACAGTTCGACCTCGCTCGAACTGGGATTAAGGCTAAGTGCCTTCGCCATCAAAGTTTAACAATATCGACACGTTCGACTCGTTCGAACTGGGATTAAGGCTAAGTGCCTTCGCCATCAAAGTTTGACAGTTCGACCTCGTTCGAACTGGGATTAAGGCTAAGTGCCTTCGCTATCAAAGTTTAAAAGTTCGACCTCGCTCGAACTGGGATTAAGGCTAGTGCCTTCGTCATCAAAGTTTAACAGTTCGACCTCGTTCGAAATGGGACTCACGCTATGTGCCTTCGCCATCAAAGTTTAACAGTTCGACCTCGTTCGAACTAGGACTCAGGCTATGTGCCTTCGCCATCAAAGATCAACAGTTCGACCTTGCTCGAACTGGGACTCAGGCTAAGTGCCTTCGCTATCAAAGTTTGACAGTTTGACCTCATTCGAACTAGATTAAGGCTAAGTGCCTTCGCCATCAAAGTTTGACAATTCGACCTCGTTCGAACTGGGATTAAGGCTAAGTGCCTTCGCCATCAAAGTTTAACAGTTCGACCTCGCTCGAACTGGGATTAAGGCTAAGTGCCTTCGCCATCAAAGTTTAACAGTTCGACCTCGTTCGAACTGGGAATCAGGCTATGTGCCTTCGCCATCAAAGATCGACAGGTTCGACCTCGTTCGAACTGGGATTAAGGCTATGTGCCTTCGCCATCAAACATCGACACGTTCGACTCGTTCGAACTGGGATTAAGGCTAAGTGCCTTCGCCATCAAAGTTTGACCGACCTCGTTCGAACTGGGATTAAGGCTAAGTGCCTTCGCCATCAAAGTTTAACAGTTCGACCTTGCGTCGAACTGGGACTCAGGCTATGTGCCTTCGCCATCANATTTTGTTAACTTAATAAATTAAATTATAAATTTTGTAATTGGAGATAATAGTTATGAATGGGTTCCAGGCTTGATTTTTGAGGCCCGGTACCACCGAATAATCCTTAATTATTATGCGTCTCAATTTCAACATTTTTAGAATTTTGTTAACTTAATAAATTAAATTATAAATTTTTGTAATTGGAGATAATAGTTATGTATGGGTTCCAGGCTTGATTTTTGAGGCCCGGTACCACCGAATAATCCTTAATTATTATGCGTCTCAATTTCAATATTTTTAGAATTTTGTTAGCTACTGAGACGCTACGCTAAAAGGCTCTACATTTTACTACGCTAAAAGGCTCTATATTTTACTTCGCTAAAAGATACTATATTTTACTACGCTATAAGGCTCTACAATATGAACATAACATTAACAATACAAATAAATAAAATATATAATATTATTTAACAATACAAATTATTTATCAAATTTTAATACAAATTATATAAGAATACAAATTATTTATCAATTTTAAGCATTTTTGGTCACAAACATAACATAAATTCAGGTATATAAATCAAATATAAGACAAACAATCCGGTAGCATTTTTGGTCACAAACATAACATAAATTCGGGTATCAAATAAATCAATCCGGGTATATAAAAGATACAAAATTAAACACAAACATAACATAAATTCACATGGAAACATACTAAACAATAGTAATATGCATGACACGTGTTTCGGCATAAACTAAATTGAAATACCTCAATGTAAATTTTTTAAATATTGTTGAAATTGAATTTTTGCACCCGAAACACGGTATCCAAAGCTTTTTTTGTATGTGGGACCTACACGCCTTGCTCTTTATGGGACGGGTGGGCCCGATTTTTTTTTTTTTATTAAATAAAACGGGGGGTAGGGGACCAGAAAGGAGCTCTTGAGTTTGTTTTTTAATGGAGGGGGGCTGGAATGTCGGGGAAGATGGAAGAAGAAGAGCCTTATTTGATTAAGGCAATTTGCAGTATAGTACTGCGAATTGCCTTTATTAAATAAGGCTGGACCCAACTATTACATTAAGCGCTGTGTTTTTGTTAAAAAAATAATAAAAAACTACTTCGCAATATGATTTTGCGAATTGTTTTAACGGCAAAATTTCCGTTAACCCAATTCACAGTATAATACTGCGAAATACTCCTTTTGTGATTTTTTTTAAAACATTAAAAACGTACTTTATGTCTAAAAAATCATTAATTAAGTTTCGGCTGCTTCACGGTATTTCTCTCGAGTTTCTCAATCTTCTCTTTCCTTTTTCCTTTTTCAGTGTTGGATCTCTCCAGTGTTGATGGTATGAATCCTCTTTTCTCCTTAATCTTTCAATGCCTGATCTTTCTAAATTTTTATTAACTTTTGGGCTTGAATATTGTGATTTTTGCTTATGAAGTAAAGACTTCAATCTCTGGAAATCAGGTGTTTACATTTTCGTTCTTTATTTTACATTTTTTGTAATCACAATTTGTTGTGTATCTTTTGTTTTCTGTTCTTTTGGGCAGTTTATTATTGAATTTTCTACTTTCCTGTCCGTATTTTGATTTATTTTACTCATGCATGTTTGGAAATTGATACCTGGGTTCATGATTTGGAATATTGGATTAATACAAATCTAATTTTCTTATAATGAAGTAATTACTGTATGGGCCAAAATTAGATCAGAGAAATTCGGCACGCGGAAACATAAGGTCGTGGTCGGATAGGCCGAGGTCGGACAGGCCGAGGACGGACAGTCATCAATAAGGTCGTGGTCGGATAGGCCGAGGTCGGACAGGCCGAGGACGGACAGTCATCAATAAGGTCGTGGTCGGACAGTCATGAAACTGCTAGTTTGCTTTGGAATACTCAAAAGGAATATTCTACCGAATATTCCCTCTAAATTGTACCTTTTGTTAGGATTTTCTATGGATACCCCCCTTATAAATAGGAGGGGAGGACTTCCCATTTAGGGTCTCGGGCTCTCTCCCTATCCCTCTTTCTAGAAAATATGTAAACACACCTCTCCAAAGAAATGAGAGGATCTGTGATCCCATACCTTCATCGGATCCAAAAAGGGTCATAAGGTTCTTGTATTTGTCTATCATTGATCTTTATTAAATGAAAGAAGATCCGTCTCACTGAAGATCGGGTGAATCTTTTCCTTTATTCATATTTTTGTTAATTAATGCATCTTTACTTATGCCATTAAATCCGATCTTAATCGCTGTCAACATTTATATTTGACTATGTTTTTCTATTTCTCCTACTCATCTCGGATCTAGAGTTAATTATCTTTAACTAGGATTTATCCTTTCATCTTTATTGATTGATTTGCTTAAAAAGTGTTTCATAACTTTTGAGTCAAATAATTTGGCGTCGTCTGTGGGGATTTCTTAGTTAAAGTTTTAGTTTCCTCTAGATCTAGAATTCAATTCTAGTTCCACGGTCTGTTCATGGTAGATATTTCCTAGTACGGCTCTCTACCATAACATGGAAAGAAGGAATCGTGATTTCAAGAAATCATTTTTGCTACACAATGTGTACTTTCTTTGATTCTCAATTTTTTATCTTGATTTGCAACTTGTATTAGTTTTGTTAAGAAACTGTTTTGTGGTTTAAATTTTTCCAATATTTCAACCCAGAATTTTTAATCCAATTAGCTGGAGGGAAGGAAGTTAATATATTTATTGCAAATAGNCAAAGGCCTTCACTAAAAAGAAGAGTTCGACCTCGATCGAACGATGACGGGCCAACATTTCGACAAAATCAAAATAATACCCTCTAAGGCCGTGGCCTTCGCCGAAGAGAATTTGAAATGTCCCTAAGGCCAAGTGCCGTCAGAAAATATACCATGCGGGAATCTACCTCGCACCAAAGTCGCGAAAAGCGAAAACATGGAAAAGTACAAGGCGAATAACAACGAAAAATTCGTCTTTATGCAAAGTCACTGCGCAAGTAGTCGCAGATTACATACGACCCGGATCAATGGTCAAAAAAGACAGCTATCTTTTCACTCGGCGTCACCATCGCCACTCTCTTCACCACCATCTCCAAGATATTCTCCATCGGCATCCTCAGTTGCAACCCATACTAGTCGACCTCCCCATCCGAATTTCTCAAACTACGATTAATGAAGTTCGCTCACCGAGCTCGACAAGGAGACGACCTCAGTAAGCGGAGGGACTAACTGTATGGGTCAAAATTAGATTAGAGAAATTCGGCACGCGGAAATATAAGGTCGTGGTCGGATAGGCCGAGGTCGGACAGGCCGAGGACGGACAGTCATCAATAAGGTCGTGGTCGGATAGGCCGAGGACGGACAATCATCAATAAGGTCGTGGTCGGACAGTCATGAAACTGCTAGTTTGCTTTGAATACTCAAAAGGAATATTCTACCGAATATTCCCTCTAAATTGTACCTTTTGTTAGGATTTTCTATGGATACCCCCCTTATAAATAGGAGGGGAGGACTTCCCATTTAGGGTCTCGGGCTCTCTCCCTCTCCCTCTTTCTAGAAAATATGTAAACACACCTCTCCAAATAAATGAGAGGATCTGTGATCCCATACCTTTATCGGATCCAAAAAGGGTCATAAGGTTCTTGTATTTGTCTACCATTGATCTTTATTAAATGAAAGAAGATCCGTCTCACTGAAGATCGGGTGAATCTTTTCCTTTATTCATATTTTTGTTAATTAATGCATCTTTACTTATGCCATTAAATCCGATCTTAATCGCCGTCAACATTTATATTTGACTATATTTTTCTATTTCTCCTACTCATCTCGGATCAGAGTTAATTATCTTTAACTAGGATTTATCCCTTCATCTTTATTGATTGATTTGCTTAAAAAGTGTTTCATAACTTTTGAGTCAAATAATTACTACTATAAGAACCCTACAAGATTCTGATTTGTGAATGAAGCTCAAATCAAATTTTCACTCATTGACATGGGTAAATTCCTGCTTCAAAAAGGGTATACTAATTTTTCTTTCTCCTTTACTCTTAATTGGTTGTCCCTACAGTTTCTTCTTCTCGCTTCTCTTTTTTCCACTTTTCGTCCCTGTTCCTTCTCTCGTAACTTTCTTCTTTTGGTTTCTTGAGAATTTTAGATTTGGATAGTTTTAATCTTTAGGACTTTCGGGTGTCGTTTGTTTGCTTTTTCTTATTATTATTTTTGCTGCGTTCATATCCAAATATTTATAAAAAGCCTTTCAAATATTTTAAAATATTATTTCAGTAATAAATTTGGTTGAACTTTTAGATTCTTTGCCATTCAGAAGTATAAAGCACATGTACATAGAAGCTATTGCATAATAGTTATGCTAATTGGCTAACTGTATTTTTGCTGCTAATTTTTTTTTCACTTTAGTTCTGTTAGTGTTTGTACTATGTGCTTCCCTTTGCATAAGGTTTTCTGCTCTGTATTTTCAATAGCAGCTTCTGATCTTGAGTATTGCTATCTTTTGGTTAATGTTATTATCTTTTTGGTTAATGAATTCTTAATGGTCTGCATTTTCTTTTTTTCCTTCTTTCTTTTCTTTCGTAATTTGTCCTATTTTGTTCTCTATTTGTATATATGTATACAAAAATATAGCTTGAGCTCTCTATTTTTGATACAGAGTTAAATAGGGAAGCTTGCGAGAGTTGTACATCGTGCTGCTTAGGTGAGACCTGGCAGTTAATTAGTTGGGATTTAAGAGTATTAGAGGTGTTTACTTAAGTCCCTCACCTTTTGAATTAGAAGTCCTTTTAATTATACATTGACCCCTTAATTTTCCTGTTTTATACCATTTGAGTCCTGTGTAGAATTGTACTGCGATGGCAGATATAGTAGAATTATCAAGCTGTAATTCCTAGGATATTTCCATAGATTTACGCTTTATATAGGTTGTAATTATCCCATTTGGGGTTATGAATGAAAGAGTCTCTTTACTTTTGCCCTAATTTATTTTACATTCTTTTTTCTTCCTTTTTTCTTCCCTTTTCTCTTCTTTTCCAGCTCGTTACTGTTCCATTGCTCTGCCTTTCGTATCAGTGGTATCAGAGCACTTCCTGGCTCTGTGGATAACCATGGCTGATAACAACAGCAATATTATGGAGGTGCTTAATAAAATCTCACTCGACATGTCAAGCTTCACAGCTAGACAAGATATTCTAGAGGCCAGTCAAGAGCAGAGTAACAAAACCTGGAGGAAGCCTTGAATGAGCTCCGGGAGGTGCTCAATAAAGTCATTTATGGAGGGAAGAGGCCTGAACGTGACAAATCTGTACCCCAAGGGGGAGGTGAGCTCTATTCTCCAAATGATAAACCCTTTGATTTTGGTGACTTAGCTACTCCTAGCTCCCACGGAGCTAATATATCAGCCTTACCTGCTAACCCTCCTGCTAACAGCTCAGTTCCTTCAAGCTCTCAAGCCCAAACGACCACCAACTTAACAACACCAGTTCCCCAAATTCCTATAAACCCTAGCCCTTCTCTGCACACTCAGAATCCCAAAACCTCACAGCTTCAATCTCTCCCCTTCCCAGCTATGGGGTTACAGTCCTTCCAAAACCCCTTTCCCAGAACAACCTTACCCTTAGCACCTCACTTCCCTAATCACCAGGAAAGATACTATTCAACCCCACAACCTCAAGGTTCATCAATAGTACCACCACCCCTATACCAGCAAACATATAACCAACCTAGTCAGTTTTCTTCTGCCTATTACAGTCCAAATGCACATATACCACCACCCTTATACCACCAGACCCCATATGTATCCACTCCCTATCCCTATCAGAATATTCCCACCACCAGCTCATTCCACAACCCAAATACTCATAATGTGACACTGCCAAATATTCCCTTCACTAAGTACCACAAGGTTGAGTTCCCTAAGTTCAATGGAGAAGATCTTAGGACATGGTTGTACAAGGTAGAGCAATTCTTTTCTGATGAAGATCTTACTATCCAGCAGAAAATGAAGTTAGTCTCCATGCATTTTGAGGGAGATGCTCTACAATGGCATTTAGGCTATATGAGGAGTAGAGGGCAAATGCCACTTCCTACATGGGATGAGTACTTATGGGCTTTATGTGATAGCTTTGGAGCTGAATACTCTGATCCTATGATAGAGGTTATAAACATCAAGCACACTGGGAGTGTAAAGGATTACCAAAAGGCCTTCAATAGTGTCATGACTAGGATGAATCTGTCAGTTGAACATGCTGTCAGTATATTCCTCAATAACCTCAAACCTGAGATCAGTAATGCAGTGAGGATAGGCAATCCTACTAGTCTACCCCAAACATACTACCTGGCCAGACTGCATGAGGCAAGCTTTATTGCACAAAGCAAGGCAATTAAGGCAGCTTCTACAGTGCATCAACACTCTGCTGCAAGGATACCTCAGGGACAAGGCTCTACTGGGTGGACAAAGGCTGCTACTCAGACCTACAAACCACCTGTTACTGCCTATTTAGATGGTGTCAAGAAAAGGAGGCTTACTCCAGCTGAAATGGAGGAGAAAAGGGCCCAAGGCCTATGTTTTTTCTGTGATGACAAATTCACACCAGGGCATAAATGTAAGGCCTAAAGGCACATATACTCCATGGAGATAAATGCTGAAGCATCATAAGAGGGTGATGAGGCAGAGGTACAAGTAGAGGACACTGGAGAGTCTCTTGAAACAGAAGATCCTGTTGAGAACTGTGAGATATCTCTCCAAGCTTTGAATGGCACCAAAGGCTACAGGACTCTCAGGATACAAGGTTTTTCTGAACAGAATCCCATTAATGTTCTTATTGATTGTGGTTCCACACACAACTTCATCAATGAGAAGGCTGCCAAGAGAATAGGGTGCATTGTCAGTCAAATACACCCTCAGGATGTCTCTGTAGCTGATGGCAGGGTCATTCAATCTGTTAAGGGTAGCAAGAACTTCAAATGGCTCATGCAAGGGGTTCTTTTCCAGGATGATTTTCTAGTACTCCCTATAGGCAGTTGTGATGTTGTGTTGGGAATTCAATGGTTGTGCAAGTTGGGGGACATTAAGGTCAACTTTGAGAAACTCTTTATGCACTTCCTCTATCAAGGGAAGTCTGTCACCCTACAGGGCATTTATCCTTCATTTAAGACAGTTGATGCCAAGGCCTTACACAATATCTCTGTTGACACTGCCCAGATTTTCATGATCAAAGTCTGTTCTACACCCATGCCTCCAATTGCAAACTCTCGGGAACCAGAAGACATCCCTTTCCCTATCCAAAGATTACTCACTGATTACAACACCCTTTTTCAAGAACCCACACACCTACCTCCTTCAAAGGGAGTATTTGATCACCACATACCCTTGATTGAAGGCAGTGGCCCTGTCAATTCTAGGCCATATAGGTACTCTCCAATACAGAAAAATGTGATAGAAGATATGGTTAGGGAGATGATGGCACAAGGGATCATTCAGTATAGCTCTAGTTCTTATGCTTCACCTGTGGTCCTAGTTGGAAAAAAAGATGGTTCACGGAGACTATGTGTTGATTATAGAGCCTTGAATAAGGTCACCATTAAGGATAAATTTCCCATACCTATTATTGAGGAGTTATTAGATGAGCTGGGAGGATAGAAATTTATTCAAAGATAGATCTCAGGGCAGGTTACCACCAGATTCGAATGGCCCCCTCTGATGTGCATAAGACGACCTTTAAAACACATTTAGGACACTATGAATACCTAGTCATGCCCTTTGGGTTAACCAATGCCCCCTCTAGCTTTCAAGGACTCATGAACCATATTTTTCAAGCATATCTGAGGAAATTCATCTTAGTGTTCTTTGATGATATTCTAGTGTTCAGCAAGTCATTAGAGGAACATGAACAACACCTCAGACTCACCTTTGACTTGTTCGTACAACACCAGTTGTTTGCTAAGGGGAGTAAGTGTGTTTTTGCAGCAACCAGGATTGAATATTTGGGACATTTTATTTCTGCTGAAGGAGTGACAACTGACCCCAAAAAGATTGAAGCAATCCAAGGGTGGCCAGAACCTGCTAACATCAAACAACTAAGGGGATTCTTAGGGTTAGCAGGGTACTACATAAGGTTCATTAGGGGTTATGGAGTCATTAGCAAGCCACTCACTAACTTACTCAAGAAGGACAATTTCAAATGGTCTCTGCAAGCCACCTCAGCCTTTGAAAACCTTAAGAGAGCCCTCACCTCTGCACCTGTACTAGTGTTACCTGACTTCTCTACACCTTTTGTAGTAGAAATTGATGCTTGCAGCAATGACATTGGGGCAGTATTGATGCAAAGAGGGCAACC